TTATATTTACCGTTTCAATTTGATAATATCTTTCTTATAACAATATTAGCATATATTGTCGGCCTTTTCTTTCGTTATAATAACGTTGTCCATGTTCATCCTTTCAAACCACCCGATGCGTACCGGCTGATTTAGCCGTCACAAATAATGTTTCAACAGACCTATCTTGTATCCAGGCACCATGACCATCCTTTCCTACTGATTGCTTATTTTCTTCAGTAAATTTGATAATAAATTGTGTTGATCGATGAATACTTTTTTGTGGCACCGTATCATTGATATTTTCATTTTTAACATTAAAAATTTGATTTATCACATGTGACGCATCGTGAAACACAAATCTTGAAATATTGATTTTTTCATTTGAAATACTATAATTTTCTTCTGACAGTTCATGTTGTTCTTCCAAATCACACTCAACACCGATCAATGGATGTAATTTAATTGATGAAGGGTAATTATTGTGTGTCGTTGCACATGTTGAATGATCCTGATTTTCTGTTGATGACAGAAGTGGGACGAAATGGTTCGCTCGCCATATTTGACCTGTTTGTGGTTCAGCACCTGATCACATAATGATCAATGGAGATGATACTTCTTCTAAATACGATCGAAGATAAAAGCTTCTGTTCAAAAGACCAAAAATACCCATCGTTTTCACTTATATCTGGATATATTGATTATATCTCTCGTTCAAATACAGATGATAAGGCACTTAACGTTAATACACCACCATACTGTACATTGTTTAAAATTCTTTTGACATGATTGTCAACATTTTCATCATCTACTAAATTCAACACTCCATCGACCACTGATGCATGATAGTTTTCATGAGAACACAATTCACTAATTGATCGAAGACGAAGTTCTTCAATTGACGTATCAGGATAAAACATTTGAGGCGTGTAAAACAAACAATCACCATCTCCATTAACGCTTATCGGGACTAGTTTATGGATAGCTGGATTGGGATGACTTAATAATAAATTTCTTGATAACTCATCCATTTCATGATCTATGGGATTGAATTCAGTTACTGGTTCTGCTGTAATCGTAAATGTATTAATTATTCTACTAATGTCAAGATTTTTGGATTTAATAGCTTCATAATCTGCACCAAAATCTTTCAGTTTTGCTAGTGAAAGTAAATAAAAATCTTCGCGAGGTTCATTTTGACAATTTTCACACAATACTGTTGGTGATGTAGTGTCACATAGACACTACATCACCAACCTGCCTGAGGTTTCAATAACTCGAACACCTTCCATGTGTTTGGATACGATTATTATTATTATTGTTAATATTATTATTACATTCGCAGAAAAGATAATAGTATTTAAAAAAAAAAAAAAGATGATGAACGAAAAAAAAATGACAAAATTTACAGTAATTGATTCACCTGTATCTTAAGGAACTGATGATTATGCAGTTTTTAGTCCAGAAGATGTGAATTCTACCAGATTTCGGTATGTATCTATTACCAATAGTCATGGACAATTTATATTTCAAACATTAATCACCAATCAAATTCAGAAAAAAAAGGTTGGACTCAATAGTCAGCAGCGAAAACGAACAAAATTAAAATTATTTCATCTGTACGATGTTAAATCATACAGTAAACGAAATTCATTTTTTAGTATTATCAACAAAAAGTATAATTTCAGTAGAGTTATTGGTGGATCATCCATCCACATTTATTAATCAAACTGGTATAAAACATTGTCGAGGAATTCTTCTTCACGGACCTCCTGGTAGTGGGGAAACATTACTTGCTAGAACCATATGTCAAGCATTGAATGTTAAGCCAAAAGTTGTGAATGGATCGGAGATTTTTTCCAAAATGCTTGGAGAATCAGAGGAAAAAATGCGTGAACTGTTTGCCGATGCTGAATTTGATACACAAGAAGTGGGAGTTACAGGTGCATTATACATTATAATATTTGACGAGATAGACGCATTATGCAAAAAACGATCATCGACCAATAGTTCAACAAGAGATGCCGTACAAAATAATATCACTAGTCGACTATTAACTAAATTAGATGGATTTGCTCAATTAAACAATGTATTGGTAATAGGTACAACTAATCTTCCAGAAACTATTGATACAGCCTTAAACGACCAGGACGACTTGAAACACTTATCAAAGTTGAATTACCAACTGAAAATGACAGACTGAAAATTTTTGATATATACACAAAATCCATGTTACAAAATCATTTACTTGATAATGATATTGATATAAAACAAATACTTTTTGGTAAGCACGGTTTAACAGGAGCACATATTGAAAAGCTTGTTCGGTTGACTGTGAATAACGCTCTTCGAAGAGATGTTATTGAACGTGGTACATTAGATATCGGTGAAGATTCAGCAGAACAACTCCGAATTTGTAATTCAGATTTTTCAATTGCATTAGAAAAGGTTCAATTAAAGCCATTAGACTTTTTTAAGGGTGAAACAAATGATATGTAGTTATTAAACATACATTATTGTTATTGTTAATTCAACGAAAAACAGCTTTCTCTGTATATGGTAGATTTTTTCATTCAGAAAAAGCTTTGTGTAATAAATTTAGATGCTTTAGAAGCTTTAAGATTGCGATACTCTCAAGAAAAAAGGTCGCTGCTAATAAAAAAATTGAAGAACAATGGGTTATATATTTCGAGGCTGAAGTTTTGTAGAGAATTTCACAGCCGTTCTTCTGCTGTACTTTATGAATCACTTTTATTGAGAAAAAAAATTATTTTTGATTATACAGGGGATCACACCTCAAAGTTCAGTGGTCCGACCACCTCTGCTCTCATCAGATTTCCTATGGATTCAAAAGTGATCTAATATGCTCAAAAAGGATGGCGATTATTCTGGCATATTATTTTGGGTGTTAGTGGGTGTTCGTAACAGAAAAAGCCCTAAAGAATCCTCTTTGAACTAAATTTTTTCGATGTTTGTTTATTCACAAAGAACAGGTCTATCGACCGGCTATCTCGGATTTTAATTTGGGGGTTTTAGTGGATGTTAGCGTATTTTAGTAATACCCCTGTCCTGGAGTAGTGTCTATTGCACTGTCTGCTTTATTAACATACTTGACTAGCGCATCATTACTAAAGTATACAGTTGCAAACCAACGATTTAGGGCATAGAATCCACTTAAGCTGTATGGATTCGTACAATCCACACGAATCTTTGTGGATTTTTAAAGGCTCGTTGCAAATTCTCATGAATTATATACCAACAAATCGCCAGACCTGGAGTGGCGCTAGTTTAGTGGCATGCGTAAAATTAATGCATGTACCGGCTGTTAACCTCTTTTGTATATAGGAATTAATTAGAAAAAACATTGTACCGACTACTAAATCGGTCTGCATTAGAGACCGAAAGTCCAAGTAAATGCTTTATTCACTCCAAGTGAGTAAACTGTGCATAGCAAATAATATTTTTTTACAGTGTATCTCCGAGAAAATTAGTCTTAAAGTTGAGAAAAGTTAGCATAAGGCTAAACTTACACGGGTCGGCGAATAATCTCTCAAAGAAACCGAAAAGTGTACTTAAATACTTGAGTATATTGTTAGGTCCACTGTTTTTAATAGTTTGTCTTAACCCTTGGACTAGGATATGAGAAAAGTTTTTTGGAATTCTGGTGGTGATTTAGTAAGAATTTTAGGGGAACTTTTCCATTTTTTCTAAAACTTTCGACAACAAAGTCCACCAAACACAGAGAACTAAATCACTGAACATGTGATGCCTGTTCCCTCTTGTAGCACCAATTATAGAACTCTCAGTTTCACTGCTAAATACGAAAAATGACCTTTTGAAATATGAATCATCTAGTAGCAAGTTTGTCAAATCCTTACGTTTTGTTTCGTTTTTCGAGCTCTGTCGAATGGCGTGATTAAAATTACGGTAGCTTCTTTCTGGACTCCGTTCTTTCAGTTTTAAAAGTTAAAATTTCAAAATCTTCACATTAAACGATTAAAATTTGAATTGATAAATTAGTTGGTGTACAATATTGATCGGTTTTCAAGTGAATAAGTCAATTATCAAGGTGCACATGACTGATATGTTATGTTTTTGAAGTAAATCCTGTTTATATGTATGTAAAATGTGTTTGTGATTCTCCATATAAAAGAAATAAAAAATTTAGAGAGCTTAGCTTAGCTCTAACTTTCAGTATGTAAGAGTTTTCTGGCAGGTTCTTTATTCTGTCTTATCTTCGAAATTACACAGTAGACTGCACCTTTTTGTAGAAAAAAATGACTAAAATGTTCTTTTTTTCTAACTAGACTTTTATATTTGTTAAAAGTGTCTTGTCAGTGTATGCGTCTCATTGCAAGATTGTCCGGTTGTAGAGTATGAAAAATTTACAATGTTTTTGTTTTGGTTGATAGGCATGTAATTGTTTATTATAATACGATGGTCGATAGGTTGTAGTCACAAGATTCCGACTAATTGCTAAGAAATCTGAATTTTGTGGGAAATATAGAAATGCACATGATAAGAATACCTGGCATCAGAGTGGCGACTTGTGAAAATCATTCAGCTATGAACTACTAGAGACGACTGCCGGTTGCTGCGCACAGAGAGACAAACTATCTACTATAAATAAGACTCAGCCTGCCGGAACCATTCTTTTGTTTTGGTTTGTCACTATGCATGGAAGAAAAAGAATGTTATAATTTTCTGTATAAGCCACACTACTAACTTCACCACTTCATTTCACTACGTAAACGAAAAATCTATCTCACTCACTACCTATTTGTTATAATGAAATCTATTTACATACACACGTGAGTGAGTAACAAAACAAAAGAAGAAAAGGAAATAACAAAGTTCGTATTTCGAACACACCTTTTGTTTTTCATATTTCTAAAACCATCCTCCACCACCCATACCACCACCGAATCCTGGACCACCAAATCCTCCTCCCATTCCACCGTAACCACCTTGATCAAAGCCACCACCTCCGTAACCTCCACCACCAAAGCCCCCCATACCTCCAAGAAACATTCTTTTAGAATGTCCAAGTGTAATTTTGGTAATTATGGTTTACAATCTTTCCAAATTTTTTCACCTTTAGGGTGCAAGATTTCTGACAGAATATTTGCATTCATGTTTAGTAAAAAAAGGTTGTTGTCAGCGGATTTCAATTCGTACGCGATGCGTACGAGCAGGAAAAACCGTGATATGCTAGTAAAAATAATGATTCTGTATTCGTTCACTACAGTCCATTCAAAAATAAACGACCTGTTTGTGCTAATTGAACAACATTTGATAGGAATGCAAGCGATAGCATCGTCCGGATTTCAATTATAGATAGAAGACACTTTGCTCTATCAGAATATATTAGTTTCAAACTTTATCGGTTACAAGAACAAACAGAAAAACGATCATTTCTAAGAGAGTGTTTTATTGGAAAATACACGTTCAAAATTACTAAATCACAAAATATGATAAAGAGCATGTTGACAATGTCTTCAGTCGACAGAGCGCATTTGATAACACAAGCAAATTTAAATTAAAACAATTTCATCATGTCAAATTCGAGAGAAAGGCTGGATTTTAAGTAGAAAATCCCAATTTTACTTCATGCCGTTTTTATCCCGTTGTTCATAATTCCTCATTCCTTTTGATTGAACGTCCTTTCTAGATGGCTACACACCATATGGATCACCTCCAAAACCGCCCATTCCACCTCCGAAACCACCCATTCCGCCTCCGAAACCGCCCATTCCGCCACCATAGCCTTGAAAGTAAAGTAAGGCATAGTTTATAGCCGTAAAGTAAGCTTTTAGATCGCTGTAAGTCCCACTTTCACTTTTGGTACTCTGGAAAAGATATTTACTTCGATAAACAAATATGCGTATATCAACAAACTACTAAGCTAAATATAACTTTGCAAACAGAAAGAATTTCTAGTCTTCTACTTAGAGATTTCTTCACTATTTTTTGTGGATCAGTCTGAAAAACAAACTAACCATCCGTAAGTAGCCTGGGCTTAACATTTTAAAAACTAATACAGACATGCGATACGGCTAAAAAGCATGTTTTCCGTCTATTACTCTTAATATTATTATTTTGAAATTACCTCCTCCTCCAAAGTCACCTGGAAACCCTCCGCCACCAAATCCGCCGCCGTCGAATCTTCCTTCTAGTAACACAAACAACAGCAATAATAATCACATCTGTTATAATTTAAAGATATTAAATTAGAAAAATACTGCACCTCTGCCCCACATTCTTGAATTAGATTAACAAAAAATACTTTTTTAAATGTTACAAAGTAACTAAAAATGAATATATGATGAATAAACAAAAAAAAACAAACGTTATTATATCAAATATTATTTTTCCATTTCTTTACTTCTCGTCAAGCATGAGAGAAGGTACATTATCTAACAATACCATTTATCGACACCGCCCATATCAAATGTACTATTAGTTAACGAATAAAAAAAAAATAAGAAAGAGAGAGAATAGCAACAATGTACTTTGGTTATTTGCCAAAATTTATTGTCGTTTGGGTGTGACACATAATTCGACTAGATGACCGATGAATTGGGGTTCTCAGCGGATTTATAGATGATACAGATCCTTTGCAGGGTATTGCTCGCAGACCAGAGACAGAAACGGGTCAACCAAACGTGACCCGAACCCAATCCGACCTGAATCAATATCTTTTTCGTTGACTAGAACGCGACCCGAGCCTAAGATCCGAATATTTTTCAGTTGTGATCTGAACTAGACTCCGAACATGACAATGTTCTCGTACACGTTCGTAAAGAAACACTCCTTTCCTATAGAACAGTTATCTAAGTCAGATTGTTTTGAAATTTTTTCAAGAAAATGGTCAGATTTCTTATGATTTCTGTCATTTTTTCCTTTTATGAGTGGAAAAGTTTGGGTAATTCAGGGTAACATAACTTATGAGAATTTGCAACGAGCCTTTAAAAATTCACAAAGATTCGTGTGGATTGTACGAATCCATACAGCTTAAGTGGATTATACGCCCTACATCGTTGGTTTGCAACTGTATACTTTAGTAATGATGCGCTAGTCAAGTATGTTAATAAAGCAGACAGTGAAATAGACACTACCCCAGGACAGGATAAATCTAGTTAGTTTTACTAAATAAGAGGTGGACACAATTAACGCTTATTCTACCAATTGTTGAATAATGCTGATGTAAGTATGCATTGAAAACGTCGAAAGAAAAAATATCGAAAAATAAATGCCGAAGCATTTTTGATCGAAGAAAAAAATGTCGACGAAAAAAATATCGAAGGAGAAAAGGTCGATGAAAAAATGTCGTAAGAATGGATAATGATGAGCTTGATAAATTTTATTTTATTTTGTTCAACAAAGAGAAAGACAGGTGTATTGAGGATTAAAATTAACTGTAAAAATGTAATAAATCGCGTTGTTAGTATCAAGTTCATTTTTTCTTCGCGATCAAGACTGATAAATCCTTCAATAATTCTTCAACATCGATTTCTTTGTTGTTGTATCGTTCATTGAGAGTATCTAACCGGTTTTTAATAGCATCAGTAGAATTGCATTAGGACGCCGCTGAGCACCTGTATTGATTTCGATGTATGAATGTTGAAATCGACTTTCTTCGCTCACGATACAAAAAAAGACGTCTCTATTTTTCTTTTCCTGTTCTATATATGAGTCAATTGCAACTTTTTTGTACAATGACATTTTTGAAGTATTTTTGCTACTAACACCGTTGTTGTGAATGGATTTTCAAAGTTTTTTTTTATTCTCTATCTCAGACCCTAGCCACACTACCATAAAAATTTCGTAACAATATGCCGTCAACTAACTGAGTTACGTGGGTCAAAAGTGAAAAATACCCGTTTTTTCGATGAGTCATCGACCGAAAAATAGATTTTCTAAAGGAAAGAAAGAACGATATCAAAAAAGTAAATAGTACGGTTTGTAGAGCTTTCAATTCTCTATCTGATTTCGCCATTCACTTTTGAGT